CTAGGGAGGAGTATAAATATATTGCTTGAGCATGTAGTGGTGTCATCAGGAAGGCGAAAGCACAATTGGAATTGCAGCTATGAAGGGATGTGAAAGGTAACAAGAAAGGTTTCTTCAGGCATGTTAGCAACAAGAAGGTGGTCAGATGAGGTGTGGGACCCTTAGGGTGTGCCCAAACTGCACCCTTACCTTGAAATAAGCTACATAATTTGTGTTATGCACATTGCATAGCTTATTTCGAGGTAATTTTGGAATAGCTTATTTCGAAATTTGGTACTGTCTATATAGCACCAAATTTTGAAGTAAAGCGCTATTCCGAAACGTCCTTTAACCCTTGTGCAATGAGAGTTACAGAGATGCCAGAATAGCGTGCCCATTATTTCTAAATCTATTTCAAAATAACGGGCTGCTTTAAAGATGTGGAATAGCTATTTCGGGATACTTCTGGTATCCCAAAAGAGCTGTGCAATCTAGACGTAGCCTTACTGAACGAGGGAGGTAATCACGGATTATGGGAAAAAGCTGAAGTACTCAATGCTTCTGTCTTCACAGACAAGATCAGCTCCCAGACTGCTGCACTGGGCAACAAAGTACGGGGAAGGAGGTGGGCAGCCCAGAGGGGAGAAAGAGCAGGTTGAGAACTATTTAGAAAAGCTGGACATACTCAAATCCATTAATGCCTCCCAGAGTGCTGAAGGAGCTGGCTGATGTGATTGCAGAGCCATTGGCCATTATTTTTAAAAACCCGTGGCAGTTGGCAGAGGTCCCAGAAAACTGGAAAAAGGCAAATGTAGTGCCCAGCTTTAAAAAAGGGAAGAAGGAGAATCCAGGGAACTATAGACTGGTCAGCTTCACCTCAGACTCTAGAAAAATCATGGAGGGGATCCTCAGGAAATCCATTTTTAAGCACTTGGAAGAGAGGAAAATGATTAGGAATAGTCAACGTGGATTCACCAAGGGCAAGCCAGGCCTGACCAATCTGATGGCCGTCTATGGTGAGGTAACTGGCTCTGTGGACATGGAGAAGGCAGTAGACATGATATATCTGGATTTTAGCAAAGCTTTTGTTACTGTCTTCCACAGTATTCTTGCCAGCAAGTTAAAGAAGGATGGATTGGATAAATGGATTGTAAAGTGGATAGAAAGCTGGCTAGATCATCAGGTTCAATGGGTAGTAATCAGCGGCTTGATGTCTAGTTGGTGGTCAGTATCAAGCGGAGTGCCCCAAGGGTCAGTTTTGAGGTCAGTTTTGTTCAATATCTTTATTAATAACCTGGATGAGGGGATGGATTGCACCCTCAACAAGTTTGTGGATAACATTAAGCTAGGGGAAGAAGTAGATATGTTGGAGGGCAGGGATAGGGTCCAGAGTGACCTAGACAAATTAAAGAATTGGGCCAAAAGAAATCTGATGGGGTTCAATAAGGACAAGTGCAAAGTTCTGCACGTGGGAAGGAAGAATCCCAAGCATTGTTACAGGCTGGGGACAGACTGGCTAAGCAGCAGTTTGGCAGAAAAGGACCTGGGGATTACAGTGGATGAGAAGCTGGATGTGAGTCAATCTTGTGCCCTGGTAGCCAAGAAGGCTAAGAGTATATTGGAGTGCCTTAGGAGGAGCATTGCAAGCAGATCTAGGGAAGTGATTATTCCCCTTTATTTGACACTGGCAAGGCCACATCTGGAGTATTGTATCCAATTCTGGTGTTCCCATTACAGAAAGGATGTGGACTCATTGGAGAGAGTCCAGCAGAGGGCAACAAAAATGATTAGGGGGCTTGAGCACATGATTTATGAGGAGAGGCTGAGGGATTTGGGCTTATTTAGTCTGCAAAAGAGAAGAGTGAGGGGGGATTTGATGGCAGCTTTCAACTTCCTGAAGGGAGGGTTCAAAGGAAGATGGAGAGAGGCTGTTCACAGTGGTAACAGATGACAGAACAAGGAGCGATGGTCTCAAGTTGCAGTGTGGAAGGTCTAGGTTGGATATTGGGAAAACTGTTTCATTAGGAGGGATGAGAAGCACTGCAATGGGTTCCCTAGGGAGGTGGTGGAATCTCCATTCCTAGAGGTTTTAAAATCCTGGCTTGACAAAGCCCTGGCTGAGCTAATTTAGATGGGATTGGCCTTGCTTGGAGCAGGGGGTTGAACTCGATGACCTCCTGAGGTCTTTTCTGGCCCTAGGATTCTATGATTCCATGACTCAACCACACTGCATTATTGGGGGAGATATTACATTGTGCATGGATACAGGGACAGAAGATGCAAGGAAATGGGGAACTGAGTGTACAAACCCAACTTTGAAATGCCCCGGAGATGTTCTACCATCTGAGGGCTACTAGCTATCCTAAGCAAAATGACTTAAGTGGTTTCAGTTCTGTTTCCCATGGGTAAGAATTTGCACCATCGATGGCAGTTGTTTTTTACAGCTCCGTTAAGGGTCATAGGACTGAATTGGCTAAGGAGAATGAATTATCTTCTCTATTCAAGAAGTGATTCTTTTAAGGGCTGGGCTCCCTTCAAAGAAAGACCTTGATCTGCAGTACCATAAATCCAGCACACATTTCACACAAACATTTGTCAAGGAGCTTTGGAAAAGATCTCACTCTGTGTGCACAAATAACTGCAAATGGTAAGAAGAAGAAACGTGTGCAAGTCCATTTACAACCTCAATCACTTAAGAAGGTCAGAGGGGCCAGCAAAATAAAATTAAACAGACAAACAAACACCAAATTATCAGGCTACATTTACACTACAGGGTTTTTGCTTTTTGCGCAAAAACCCACGGAGTGTCCACACCTCAACCGTGTTTTTGCACAAGTAAATTTACAGTAAATCAAAAGAACAAAGGTGTTTTTGTGGTGTAGGTATTCCTCTTTCTACAAGGAATAACTCCTTTTTGTGTAAGAGTTCTTGTGCGAAAAGGTGTGTGCGGACAGGCAACAGGAAGGTTTTGTGCAAAAAGAGCTAATCGAAAAAAGCACAGGTGCTCTGGTGGTTATTCTGTGTTTAGCAATCAGAGCTTTCTTTCGAGAGAGCTTCCATGTAGTCTGGACGCTCTCTTGCGCAAAAGTGCATTGCTTTTGCGATGTGCTTTTGTAGTGTGGACGTGATCTTGTGCAAGAAGTTTCTGCGGACGATCTCTTCTGCAAAAAACTTCTTGCACAAGAAGCCTGCAGTGTAGACGTAGCCTCAGTGTCTAGGAGCAGGTCTCACAATGGAAAAGGAGATTGTTATTATTTATAGTACAGTAGCACGTGGTGGTAGTAGTAGTATCTGCAGTAATAGACCAGAGCATAGGGCTCCACTGTGCAGACACATAGTAAGGAAAAGTCTAAATAGAGAAAATGGACAAAGGAAGGTTTGTTCCCACTTTACAGATTGGCAACAGAGGCACAGAGAGATTGGGTGACTTGCCCAAGGTCACACAGAAAGCCTGTGGTGGAGCAGAATTCCTGAGTACCAGTCCAGGGCTTTAACCAACCATTTTTTCTTTTGTTTTTAATAGTGTGTGAGTTTTGCATTGTCTAGTGGCAGCTGTTGTTTCTGAATCAGGGATTCTGGTTGGTCCATATCACAAGGCTCTTTCTCCACCTTTTACCCAGAGGGTTTTTTAATTAGATTCTTTTGATTTTTGATTCTTAACAGGACTCCAGCTGATCACGCTCAGTGAGAATTTATTAATAAAAAATTAGTCAAAGTTTAACACCTCACAGTAGAGGAAGGAAGGGTATACCTTACCAAACCAGTTCTGCAGTAGCACCTCTGCAGCTGGATTCACTCCTAACTAACTCTCAAAACCTTACATATCACAGGTGTATACAGAGAAAGTGAGAGAGCAATTAATTCCTTCTTCCACCACCCAATTACAAGTGGAAATTCCTTTATGATACCTTAGTTCATATGGCTGATAAAGATATTTCTAATCAAGGCATTATGACAGAAAATGTTGTGACAACAAGAAATTCCTTATGAGTTAAAAATATTTCTTAACAGTTTATCATGTCACCAATCACAGAACACATCTGCAATAACAAGTATCTCTCCTCAGTAAAATGGCTCCTTTCTGGACATATGCTTCATGAATCCATGTGATCAGAGTGAAAGATTACACACATTCCACCATTTGGTCACACACTGTGGTTTAACCTAAGTTTAAAGCACTTAGAATTATAGACCCAGAGCATCACCATAGTAAGAGGAGTGTGGGAGTTTGGTTGAGGTACAAACATTTGAGGGAGTTTGGAATCTGTCAATATAACTCGGTGAAGCATCGTTTTCATAGTCCATAGAGCTGAGCATATAACAATATTGTATTCAACATGCCTATCCTCTTTGGTCTGTATAATCCGAAA